ACCAGGACCATCCATTAGAAGGAAGATATCCCAGCCTCAATCAGGATCTTCCAAAGAAAGTGACACTAGTTTTGAGTTTTTAAGACCCCAAGCAATCTTAGCAGTACCTAAAGTAAATCAATCCAAGAAATGCTTGTCAAGAAGAAGGGACAAAACCGCCATTTAACGTCCTCACCCTATAAAATAAAACTGAAATTGGCTCAAGAAAAACAGAAGTCTACTAAGGTGAAATCAGTAAAAAGAAAGATAGCAGATGATCAATGCAAATCACAGACAATCAAGAAATCTACTAAAAAACTAAAAAAGTAGAGTCGGATGCAGAAGGCGACGATAGTGACATTGACTGCATGTACTGCGGAGACTTTTATTCAAGTTCCACAGAGGGATAGGTAATCTGTTCTAATTGCCATAAATGGACTCACAATTCATGTGCAGGTGTAGAAGATGAAGATAACGAAGCAGTACTTGTTTATAAACTATGTCAATAAATTTTTCTTGATTTAAGTATGTTTACCCATTTTGCCCTATACGACGGGCATATTGTGGGAAGTTGCAATATTTTCTTTTTTTTGTAATATAAGAAAACCTTTACTTTTTTTAAGTTAAAATATTATTAAAAAATAGTACTGTAATAATGATATTATCTTATTTTTAGACTTTCAAAGTTTAAGATTTTTTTTAAATCCTACTTTAAACCTTAAGTGCCCCGTTTTGCCCGCATGTCCCCTAAGCACTTAATACACTCAAGAAACTACAAAACAATCTAGATTAAAAAATATGTATTGCAAGATTAATTATTATACTTGGTCAATATTTATGGAATATTATTGGTTTTATTATTACGTCTGAAGAAAAATCCTAAAACAGGTAGTAACAACCCCTAAAATTTTGATAGGGAATGTATTAAGTGTGGCAAATTTGGGAAAAGGTATTTTTATTTGAATTTTATCAATACCAATATTGTACCAAATTCCGACTTTAGCCTTGAGGGAAAAATAATAGTTATGCAATAAAAGTGTGACACCTCATTGAAAGCTATTTTTATTGGAAATTCAACGAAATAAATAAAATTATACTGGAGCGACATTTAATAAGTAAAGTCAACAAAACATGAGCAGAGTATCATTTGATTTTTAGTTGGTTTAACTTATGAAATATTGTTCCACGATAATTTTATTTATTGCATCGAATTTCTAATAAAAAGCTTTCAAATGAGGTATCACACTTTTATATACTTAACGGTTAATTTTCTCTCAAGAGGAAGCTAAAATGAGAATTTGATACAACAATATTGGTGCTGCGGAATTTCTCATAAAATTACATTTTAAAAGTTGTTCATCCCACTGCTCAAGGGGATGCAGCAATTAGGAAAAATAGGTGTCCGCGTCGAAATAAAAATCGATGTGTTTCAGGATTTTTCTTAAAACGTAATAATATAGCTAATATTCCATAAATATGGGCCACCCTATATAATGGAATTGAACCACTTCAATCATATAAAAATAGATACTTATCCAACTATGTGGTACATCACCACGAATAAAGTATCTTTATTTTTTAAGATATAAAAAATAGTAATAAAAGGAGTAGTTTAGAATGCAATTTTAAACCTGTATACCAAATTTCAGGATTGTAAAAATATTTTTCGAAACTCTTATTTTGTTCAATAAACTATAGTACGGACCCTGTATAAATTTTTTGAACAAAATAAGAGTTCCGAAATATAATTTTACTATCCTAAAATTTGGTATAAAATTGTTTAATTTAATACTACTTAATTTAATACTATTTTTTATAAAGATACTTTATTTGTGGTGAATTTAACAATTTTGCTTAGACAACATCATGTAGAAGAATTTTTGCAGCAGGACTCGATCCCTAAATATAAATGCAAAATTTAAAAAAAAATGTTCATTACTGTCTTATTCCATGAGCGCTCGGACTTAGGTCTATTCTGTAGCAGTCATTGTTGCAGATCACACCTATTTCCTATTAAAAATTTTCATAAGTTGTAAATTGTTTATAGTTTAAGATATGGTAGTTCGGGATTCAAATTAAAATTTAATTTTGAGATAGGATACTTTTTCAGTTTACTGTTCTTTCCAAGTAATATAGACATAGGCTTTTGCATCAAATCCGCGATGGTTTAAACTATCACAAATCATTAAAAACCGAAAATGACAAAACTTGGAGTCAGACTATTTCTGCTCTAAACCGACAAAAAATATGTACAGTTTCTTTTACTGAAAAGTTGTTATTAAAGCAAAGCATCCAAGGTTTAAGAACAGTATAATTTACTCCTTTGTAACACCGTTAAAGTGTCTTGCGAGGTATTCTCTCATTGACATTGAACTGTCCTTCGAAAAACACATGTTTTAGAGAATTTACCTATTTGGAGCGTATTTAGTGCTAGTTTTAGTAGAATTTTCGTTGAGACAGAAGCAGACCGCTAGATAATGTAGAAAAAAAATTATAATAGCAGATATTCAAAACAAGACTGTTTTTAAACATAATATTCAAGCTATGAGAGGAAGTGAAGATGAAATAGTTCCTAAAAGATGTGGAATACATAGTAATAAATCGACAAGATTATATTCCTTGCCAATTTTGTTTTCAAACAAATATTTAGCAATTCATTAAAGACGATGCAAATTCAACAAATGTTTGAGTTTGAAACGAAAACGTTCTATAAGATCATCAAAAAATTCCTTGCTTTTACGACCAGATCCACAAGTATCAAAAAACTTTATAGAAAAAATTTTCGGGCAGATGTCGCATGATCAAATATTTTTAGTATCAAGACAAAAACAATTCTTAGACATAGCAAAGCAATGTTCAACCGATTAGGACATGATCAAAAATACTAAAGAAGCACAAAGTTGAAGAAGCATTAGCCGGTCCCGTCGCTTCGCGAGCTGTGCTAGTCTCGTGCGCGTACAGTGAAATTCTCCATATTTTGTAACGCATTTCCACTTGGTGTTCTCGCTCGCATTGCGTTCTCCCTCTTTCTTTTTCATAGAATCTCGGGAAACTGCGCGCCCGAGGCTAGTACAGACCGCGATGCGACGAGACCGCGATGCGACAAGACCGTGATTGTCTACTGCCGGTGAAAACAATTGGTAAGGTTTAATCCAAATTAAGAACATCCAATTATCAGTTGTTAAAACAAAGCGTTTTTAAAGAAGCTGTATTTTAGAAAACGCTAACACCGTCTTATCCCTTAAAGGGGGGAATATACAGTGCTTATTTTTTTCGTGTTAGGCATAGTATATAAGTTAATAAAATAGTAACAGCGCATCAGTCAGTCGTCGACAAGATATGGTGATGGGATATTATCCGAACCGAATAACAATGAGCATAGCGATAGCGGGGATATCGCAGTTGCTACATGTTCGCTGTGAATGCATGGCTATGCCTAATACCAAAGAGTACAAAATATAACTATAAAAGAGGAGTCACTCGCCCAACTACCGCCTTATAACGCGACCAGCCGCCAGTCCTCCAGTCCTTTCTCGATCGGCAGTATACCGGTGTAGTTCAACGCGTAAGGCTCGTTTGCTCCGATACGTTAGATTCCGCTGTGTATTGGCCGTTACATTCCACTATCATCGCCGTCGCATCTTACCGCTTAACCCCGGTATAGCCGAATCAGCTCTGTACTCTTTGAAAGAAAGCCGACTTGTCGGCCCGCATTTGAAGCGTGATTTCCTTTGTAAATGCCGCGCGTGACTTCTCTTTTATAGTTATATTTTGTACTCTTTGCTAATACAACCTAATAAGTACTGTATGTTAAAAAATGTGCTACAATGCTTCAGGACGAAATTCTTTAAGAGTACATTCTCAAATTTGACGCATTATTTAACTTTGTGGAAGCGAAATGGTTTACGAAGGTTTCATCTCATGCTCACATAACGTTGACAGAAGCAAAATGGAATAAAACTAAAACTAAAAAAATATTTAAATTAGCAGATTAATACTGAACAGGAAGGAGGTCCTAATATTTCAACTTTTAAAAATTTAGTGAAAATTATTATTTTTAACAGAAGACGCATTGGTGAAGTACAATATATGCTTCTCAAAGACTACGAATCTGCTTCAAAATGTGACCCTAATTTTAATATTTTTAAATATTAACCGAATCAGAGAAACGATTAAGTTAATCCTTAATTAGATTGAAAATAAAAGGAAACAGATGCCGCGATGTGACTGTTCTGTTAACAGAAAAATGCGATCTAATCTGAATCTAATAAGAGTGAAGAGTGTCTAACCCAGAGATAACAGAGATATAACCATGCCAAATTAATTCGGCAATCAATACGCTCCATTTGTAGGTCCTCGACGAGGAGACGAAAGGTGAGAAGTAAGAGAGGATAAAGAGTAGGATTTTACGCAGCTACAACTTTATTTTATCAATGAATAAATGTGTAAGGGTGTAAGCGATATGCGCCTATAATGAACATCGTAGATATCCATGCTGGTGTTAGCCCTGTTGCCACTTCCAAATTAACATTACTAGGTTTTGGAATTTATTGAAAATTATTACATTTAATTTAGTGAAATTACATATAATTTACTTAAATTTATATGACTCTCTTAACTGGTGGATCCCCAGACTAGTTAAATTTGGACGTTCTAAGGTTCTTCTTTTGCTAACTAACACCAGGTAGCGGGCATTATATGCCCCTCCCTCTTTTTTATCAGGAAAGTTTTTCTACATACTTTTGAGTATTTTCCACAAACTTTCCTATGCCCACTTTCAAACCAGGGAAGCCGAAGAACTGAAGAATATGTGATCAACGTCCGGAGACATTATATCGATCGTCTCCACGTGAGAGTCGGGTTCGGCTAATAGGTCACGCTGGGGAGAAAATATTCAGGTCGGTCTAGGTAGCCGTCCTGTCTTAACTACACCTCCAAATCGACAAGGGAACGCCTCGGTCGACCTAGGACACGATCGTCGTCCCCAGGCGGAAAATAGATTGGACGATCATGATGACGAAATGGCTAACGAACAAGGACATGCTCAAATTGAACTTTCCTTTCCATTTGAAGACCGAGCCTGTCTGTTGTGCTTGCAGGCGGGCCGGAACATCTTTCTCCTAAGCTTTACTGAAGAGAAAAAGCATTACAGTTCTCTACACAAGAACAGTTTGATTACATATAAATGTAATAGCTGCAGGAAAATCTATCAAAAGATCCATGCTGCAGTCACACACACGCCGAAGTATCCGGGACCTACGCAGCCAGAGGATCCCGTCGGTGCGGTTATATGCCAATACTGTAACCGGTCGTTCATGAATAGAAGAGCCTATACTGCTCATGAACGACAAGCGCACCCGGTCGCCCGAAATGAGGCTAGGACAGCCGGTGCAGACATAGAGGCCGTCACTCCTCGGCCCGCAGTCAGACGCCGCGGCGGACTGTTCTCGGACGAGGAAATCACGAGGATGATTGACACAGAATGTCTGCACTGGGGTGACCCGTACATGGCAGTCAGGTTGAAAGCTCTGGCCTGTCCAGCTAAGACTCTCAAGCAAATTCGGGAAAAAGGCGGAGTGACGTGTACAAACAACGCGTCTTCGATGCAGCGCGAGACGCAGGAATCGTAGAACATGCAGAACGACGTCGCTTCGACCTTTCTTTTAACGAGAGTATCAATCTGGACGTAGTGGATTCAGACCCCAAAGATGCTGAAGAAAGATCTGGCGAAAGTGATCTAGAGAATGAAAACGACGAACAGCTTAACCTAGACGAACATGAGGTGCCAGAAGTCGTCGGCCACCCTCCGGATTAAATTCCTCAGGCTCTACCCATTCCCAACATTGAAATCTCCTTAGATCCGGGGGAAGCTCCAGCAAGCACGGACTGGAGGCGTGAAATGGTCGAGACTGTCCTTAGCCAACAGTTGCCCGAGAATGCTAGACGATCACGCGAAATCCAAGATGCCATCAGGGTCTTGAAGGGCGGCCTACAACATGCCTGTGAGTGTGACGATCAGGCACTAGCCCTACTCACCAGTGGGGAGCGCAGTAGGCCAGAACGCCCACGAGGTATGGGGAAAGGCAGAGGATCGCGGCGTCGATATCTGTATGCCCGGACCCAGGATCTCTGGAAAAAAGATCCAGGCCTCGTTGCAAAGTACGTCCGTCAAAATGTAGACTGGATCGACGAACAAAGGGTGCAATGTTCTCGAACGGACGTACAGGAGCTGTATAAACAGCTATGGGTAACAAAGCATGAGATACAGACCCCACAAAATCTTGGCCCATCTCTGTGTGTTCTATTCTTCACACGATTAGTAGGGATGAGATCCGGTCGAAGACTGCCTCGATCAAGAAGTCTACGGCTGCAGGTCCCGATGGAATAAAACTGTCGGACCTTCAATCTCTAGCAGCCACTGAAGTTCTCTACCGTTTGTTAAATCTGATCATGATCTTATGTAAGATCCCAACGGAATGGAGAAAGAATCGTACCAAGCTCCTTCTGAAGGAGGGAAAAGACGGTACCAAGGCTGAGAATTATCGGCCCATTACCATTTCCTCTCTAGCGAGTCGAGTCTACTTCGGTATTCTTGACCGACGGATTAGAGCTCACGTACAATTCTCACCCCGCCAAAAAGGTTTCTTGAACGAGGCGGGGTGTTTCAACAATGTGCACATCCTTAACGAGTTGTTGCGACACTCGAAAGCCAACGAGGGCCTGGTCCTAACGCAACTGGACGTGTCTAAAGCATTCGACACTGTGCCACATGAAATCTTAAGGCACGCGTTAGCCTGCAAAGGTATCCCCGATCTAGTGGTTCGGATCGTAGAGGACGCCTATAAGGATGCAGACACCACCATCGAAGTCTCCTCACAGGCGACGGTCGAGATTCGCCTCCAGCGCGGGGTAACACAAGGAGACCCCCTCAGCCCACTACTATTTAATCTGGTTCTTGAACCGATAATAGAAGCGTTGGAAAGTCAGCCTGGGTTCCAAATAAACAACGAGTGCAGCATCGCTTGTATCGCCTTTGCCGACGACATGGCGCTCGTCTCGCAAGATGTACCGCAGGCGAAACGTCAGTTAGGAGACGTGGAACGATACCTATCAGGGCCAGGTATGAAGCTCTCAGCACCGAAGTGCAGAGCGTTCTGCGTCAATAAGACTACAGACTCTTGGTACCTTTCTGACCCCGGGTTGACAATCGATAGTGGTGAGTCGGTGCCGGTTGCAGGAGCCGGTGACCACCTTGTCTACCTTGGGATGAAAATATCTCCTTGGGCCGGCGTGACGGTTGATCATATTCCTTCAGAATTAAGCCAATGCTTGAATAGAGTTACACGCCTAAAATTGAAACCACATCAAAAGGTAGACTTAATCACCACTTACCTAGTCCCGCACTACTTGTACCAGCTCAACATAGCTGCGCCCAGTTTGAATACTGTACGGCGAATTGACCAAGAGCTACGAGTAGTGGTAAGGAACATCTTACACCTACCGCAGTCTGTGACAAATTGGCTTTTATACTGTGGTAAGAGAGACGGGGACTAGCAGTGCCATGCCTTGAATGGCAAGTAACAAGTGCAGCCCTGAAAGCAGGTGTGAGATTTTCGAACCATCCTGACCCTGCAATGCAAGCTCTCGCCATAGAGACCGGACTGGACAACCGTCTCGCCAGACTGGCTCGAGTAGCCCGGCTAAACTGGCCGCCAGAGGAGCATGACCTCGACAACTTTGTGAAACAAAGAAAGAAGGCAGAGCTTGCGAGATGGAAGAGGCTCGGATCACAAGGGAAATCGGCCGGGGCGTTTGCCGATTCCCCTATCGCAAACCAATGGCTTACCGATCCGTCGCTGCTGCGGCCAGGTCAGATGATAACAACACTTAAAATGCGAGCGAACACATGCGAAGATAGGGTAAGCATGAACCAGGCCTCCCATCAAGAAGACCTCAAGTGTCGGCGTTGTCAAGCACAGCTTGAGACACTCGGCCATATACTTGTTCATTATAACAAGATATTTCTAAAAATGACCTTCCAAATACTTCTAATTCATCACTAGAAATAAAAGAAAAATATGTAGATAGTGATTTTGAAATAAACACAAATAGCAGTAATACATCATCTGATTCATCTTTAAAACAAATCCCAAAAAGAACCAGAAAATATGACAAGCAACATGCTTGTTACTTTTGTAACAAACTCGTATTAACATTTACAGATCGTTCATACAAATGAAATTGAAATAATAAAAATCACTCTTTTAGACAAAAAAATCTAAAGAAAGAAGAGACAGGATCTTATGTCTATTATGAGCGGGTGATTATTATCATAATTGTAATGTTTTAACGACGGGTCAAGGAGACTTTATATTAAGCAGGCGTCGAATTATACGTGATATAAGAGCACCTACAGAATACGGCCCATGTCCAAATTGCCTAGGGTTTTTCTTATTGGAATGTTTATGGCGTCACACGAAAGAAATATGTCCCAGTAGAACAAAATCTTCTCAGAGAGATGAACGATCTGAAAGCTGTGCTCTTTTAACCTCTTGGACACGCACCACTGAGTCTATAGATTTTCACAAAAATATATTGGCATCTTTAAAAAATGATGAAATAAGTCGAGTGTGCAAAGAAGATCTAACAATAAAGCAATTTGAATCACTCTTATTTGATCGATACACCACACAACAATATGATCATATTTGACAATCCATGCGTCACTTAGCCAGACTATTGATTGAAATAAAAAAAATTGACAAAGACGTTGTTTTTATAGCTGATGCTTTAGTTCCCGGAAATTTTCATACAGTCATTAAAGCTGTTAAATACATGTGTTGCTTCTTACGATGATTCACAAAATTTTAAGGTCCCCTCGCTTGCTTTAAAATTGCAACACAATTTACGTAAATGTGCACAAATTGTAAGAGGAAAAGCCTTAAGGGAAAGTGATATTAAAACTGAAAAATCTATAACAGGGTTTTTACAAATTTTGGAATTTGATAACCTTAACAGATTGTAAGATGAATTGTGCTCAAATGCTACCTCTTACCGAAGATGCTGTCAAATTAGCAAGATATTTAGATGCAGTGATTGAAATATGTTCCTATAATTTAAGTGAAGGTGTAGACATCGCTCAGTCATGGCCCAAACTGGCAGCAGCCACCCTGAGTCGACTTTAATAAAAGACGGTCTGGAGAAACTTCTAGAATGACCATTTCACAATATGCAAGTCGACCAAACTGGGTAGATCAGGGCACATCAGATTTAAAATCAACATTATCACCATTAGAAATAAAGCTAGCAGAGAGGTTGGTGATAGTGGAGGTAAAAGAAAAATCCAGAAAAAAACCCAAAAGTTTCTCTTTTACTAACACCCGAAATTAAAAATTCTATAGATCTTTTACTTGAGAAGAGGTTATTTGTTGGAATTAATTCGGCAAATAAATGTTAAAAGATTTATTTGAAATTTTACGAATAGTTAGAGGAATAAGCAGACAGCATTAATATTTAAACCCCTTAATGGTATTTCCAATTTTTGTGAAACATATACCTGTTAAGATTTAATCTTTTTCTATGGGTAGGGGTAGTTCTACTACAAGAATATTTTATTAAATGAACCAGTATTAGTCTTATTGGTAATTTTGAATATTGAACATCTAATAATTTATTTGCCAACCAGAATTTACTTTTTCTTCCGAAGTATGAAACGACAAAAGGTTTATAAAAATGTTATCAACCAACATTATTAGGCGTTATAAGTACCCCAAGTAGTTCAAAAGGCTTGTTAAAGGATGTTTTCGACTTTGAAGATCAGGAACAAATAGAGCAGCCGCACAGACCCCAGGACGTACACCGACTCTATAAAGAAAAAGAGATTTAAAAAATACGGATGAATTAGATATTGCTCAGCAAAATAATAACGATTTGAAAATAATTCACGGTAAATCAAGTGAAAAATAAATTATTCAAAACAATGTAAATAGCAACTACTAATAAGAATAAAATAATCATTTTGGAAAATTATCAAATAAAAGCGCCACCAAATGAAATTAGTGAAGAAATTTCAGATGAATATTCTCCGCTAAGAAAGATATCGCGAAAAAGGCAACAATCAGATGAATATAAAAATGGTTATGATAGTGACACTTTGGAGGAACACTTTCAAGCATCAGAGAGCAAGTATCAGCCTTCGAGCGATGACGAGGAACCAGAATGCTCGTTTAATTACGAAGATAAAGGTAAAAGAACAAAGAAAAATGATAATTAAGATCCAGGTAAAAAAAAATAAACAAGATGAGACAAATACTAGTCAAAACGTAGACCGAGTCGTAGTTAACTTTGGTAAATTTGTAGAACCTCCTGCTCCAAATGTTGCATCACATATATCCCGATCGCAAGACAAAAAAATAACATGTTCGTATTGCCTAAACGATGTAACCCACTTTTCTCGACACCTAATTAGACACCATAGTGGTGAAGGTGCCGTTAAGAAATTTTTGTCATTTCCTGCAAATAATCCCAAAAGAAAAATATTGTTAGGTGCTATTCGCCGTCAGGGAAATTTTGTAAGCTCTTTATCTACAAATAATATAAGACCTGTACGAAGACCCAAAGAAACTGAGAA